ACAATTATAGAAAAAAAAGTTGGTGCCGAGTTCTGGGGAGCGCATTGTAAAAATAAAATAAAAAAACTGAAAATTGTTTTCTCTGATTCGGTGCCAAACCCGAAGTATGAGCGTTCCGCTATAAATAGAACTTTACGTCCCGCCAATGTTTATGCAATTTTACATGATTATTATGTCCTGGCAGATTACACAGCTAATTAGTGGAGGGTTTGGCCTCAAAGGCCGCGGCTACACTCAGACTCAGTTACACCAGAAACAACGCACACGCACAAGTTTGATTACTAGAAGACGTTGCATTAAAAGACGTCTTATTGGTCCGTTAGTGACACCTTTTAGGACTATTCAAAATATTATTTATAATAGGGATGCACCGATACTAGTATCGTCGTCAGTGCCAATGCCGAGTATTCCGACGCCGGTATCAGGAAGCCGCGTAGCGCATCATTACACACAGCCCGGCTTCCTAATTGGCCGGGAAGCCGGCTCCATGCTTTCTCGTCACCTAGTGACGAGAGAGCACCTGGCTTCCAGCCAATCAGGAAGCCAGGAAGCGTGTAATGACGCAACGCCCGGCATTCTGATTGGCCCGGGATGCCGGCTTCATGCTCACTAGTCACCTCATGACGAGGGAGCATGGAGCCAGCTTCCCGGCCAATCAGGAAGCCGGGCGCCGCGTCATTACACAGCGCCCGACTTCCTGATTGGCCAGAAAGCCGGCTCCATGTTTTCTCGTCATCTAGTGAGGAGAAGCATGTGGACGGCTTCCCTGCTAATCGGGAAGCCGGGTGGCGAGTCTTTACACGCCTGAGAGCCAATCAAATACCATTTTCATTCAAAGGAGAACTATGGGGTCAGGGCTTTTCCCCATAGTACTCCTTAGGGTAACGGGAGGACACAAACTAGTGTCCTCCCCTCAGTATATAGGGAGTATATAGTATAGTATATAGGGCTCAGTATATAGGGCTGCTTGTGGTATACCGAGACGCCAGAGCTGAAGCGGATCCCCGACAATTATGTCTGGATCCGCCCAGCTGCGTGACTGACAGCTGGCTCTGCCTATCTAGAGGCAGAGCCAGCTGTACCCGCCCCCTCCCCCGTCAGTTCCGCCAGTCAGCGCTGGCGGATGGGAGCGGGGAGGGGGGAATCCAGCCCCTACCTTGTCACAGCAGAGAGCCGTGACAGGATCGAGAGGTGAGCGAACGGCGGTATGTGTTCGCTCACCTCCCGATCTACTGAGCCGACCTGTGACAGTCTCATTGTCACAGGTCGGCTAGAACTATGAGGTGAGTGAAAAGCATTCGCCTCATAGTTCTCCTTTAAGAAATCAGCAGCGGCAGTCATCATTTTCTCAGGACAGGTTCACTTTAAGCCAAAAAGGTAAAAAAAAAGTCTGGTAATTTTTTTTTTTTTTTTT